CTATGGAGTTCAGATTTTGAAAAATTAAAAGTTGAGGATGTATTAGTCAGATTCTTCTCTGATATTGCTGCATAACAAACGTGTCTAAAAATCTCAGTGGCTTGCAACAAAAAGCATTCATTTATTTCCCAAAATTTTACAAGGTGGCCAGGTAATTCTACTTCAAGCTGTAGATCTTATTTCTGATCTATATGTCTATCATATTGGAACTAAAAGCTTTCCAGTGCATACGCAACTTGTAGCAGATGGCAGAATGCAAGAGGGTGAGAGAATATACAATGTCTCTTAGATTAGAATTTGTATAGTCATTTTTTCCATATTCCATTAGCCCAAGCAAGACATGTGGTCAATCCCAAGATCAATATTATACCCACAGTGAACCACAGCAAGTGTGGGAGAAAAAGAATGATTGACAAATAATACAATCTGTGTCAGGGAAAACATTTCTTAAATATCAAAAAGATGAAAGAGGACATATTCCAGGGTAAAAGAAAGTATTTACACTAAATGCAATACAAAGTTTTTTTTGAAAAAAAATTCAGTTTTAAAAAAATCAAAGGAAGCCACACTGAAGAAATCATGTTACAAAGCGCAATCTAATGGAGGCATAAAGGTATGAAAACACTCTTAGTTATTTTGCTTGATGAAAGGGTATGTGTAGTCAGGTAAGTGATTTAAACAGAGATGCTTCTTTGAATACCACCAAGTTTCCAGTCATTCAAGATCCTAGAAAACTTGGAACCAATTGCAGCTGCCCTAATTTATCATTCCTGCTGGGAGATATAGATCAGGAACTCTGGAATAAAATTCAACCCTAAGCTGTGCCTCTGATTTCTGATTTATTTTGCAATAAAATGCACTATCCATATGAATGGGCATCTTAACCTGAAAATTGGTATTTTTGCACTAATACAGCCTCTAAATACTACCTTTTATTCAATGGCCATCATTTCATGTATTAAAATTGAGAAAACGAAGTATGTTAAGGTTAAATTCAAATTATTAGTACTGGAATATCATTCATGTATATACATATGCATATATATATATTATTTGTGTGTGTGTGTGTATATATATACACAGACACAAATATCCTCCAAAATGACTCTGTAAAGTGTTTTGTGCTCTTCAAGATAGCATTTGTACTCAAAGTAATTTATTAGGAAGATAACAATGAAGGCCCAGAATAAAGCTCCTTTCATAAAACAGCTGCATCACCAAGTAGATCATGTTCCTGACTCTGAACTGAAGCTTGTCAGCTTTCATTCTTTCCAAGTAAATTTGTCCTGTTGGGCTTCAGTCCAGAAAGCCTCTCTACCTTACTCACTTTATCTTTCACTGACCTTTACTCTCCAGATGTGTATCTCATGTAACAGTTCTGTACACTTGACCCTGACTACTTTGATCAAACACAATAAATAAAGGAATTAAAGGAGAAAGCTTCCCTTACAACAGAAAATCTTGCTCTTTTAGAGCCTTTTGTTTTTAAGAATATAATTTTTTCCTTAAACTTACCTGTTTAAAAATTAAAGTTTCATTGGTAACATGGAGTTCTGAAAGTTCCAAGCAGTTTGAAATTAATTTTATTCTTTATAAGATTTTAATTGCCGTGAAGTTTTTGCTTTATCCTCTCTCTTATTGAAAATCTTATTGCAAAAATATTCATTTGTTTTCAGCTCTGGTAAAGTTATAAACCTCACAGTGGAAAATTTAAATGGCAAAGAGCTTCCTTCTATTTTTGTAATTTAATGTGTAAATAAAGTCAAAATTTAACAACTAGGCATTTCACTATACTTCATCATTTAAGTTGACGGCCAGAAGAAAAGAAAGATTATCTTTTTGGTTGCTTCAAACCTTTTTTAAAACCATTTAGCTTTTTCCCCATTGATTCAAGCAATAAGAGACCTAATGTTCCTTGAACAACTTATATTTGAAAATGCTTTTTACTTCCTGAAAATATTCAAGTTTTATAACATTGAGGGTTTTTTTTCCAATAAAGTAAAGTTCCAGAATATAAGCAAATCTCCCACAAGGGACATTTGAAATATTGCAATATGCCAGCAATTTAATTTAATCACTAAAAATAGTTTCTTTTATATCATATATTTGCTTTAAGTCTTACATATGTATACTTTTCCTCTATAAAGCCAATTAATATTTGCTAATATGCATCCATCACTAATATACATTAATATCTTAGTGTTTATTTTAAATACATGGTAAAGTTCCATTTAAAATGAAAACCTTTTGCAGTTATTTGAATTCAATCTGAATAGTGACTTTGTGTATCTGGAAATAGTCCTATTTAGCAGCAAAACAATTCCAAGAAAATAGCGATAGATCAAAAATAAAACACATGTATAAACTGATTTTCTCCAGGTTCTAGGTCACCTTAAGAGTAATTTTATAAAATTTTCCTTGCTTGTATATGCATGTCCTAAGACCACTCCCAATTATGTCTAGGATTCCTGGTGGCTGTCTTGCCAAGTGACAGCATGGGCCCCACATGGCTACTGTATCTCATCCTTCCCTGAGTCTGTCTTGGACACCATCTATGCTCCTCCAGCGATGGAGGATGATGGTGCATTGTGAAGCTGGAAATGTACTTTTCTCCCTTGTGTTAGGCCCTTTTGGAGAAGCTTGAGTGTAAACTGCTTATTTCCTTGATGTTTTCAAGAGATTTAAGTTGTTAAATTAAGTTTGACGTAAAGCTGCCTCCTTACTTATTTAAGTTCAGCCTAAAGGTTATTCTGTACATAATGAACTATAACCTAACTTGATGTGTAAACAGACTGTAAGCTATTCCTTAGATATTTACATATTTATTTAAATTCATATTTACATATTTAAGTTCAGCCTAAAGGTTTACATATTTAGATTCAGCGTAAAGGTTTCCCCATTATGAACTGTAATGTAATTTGATGTGTAAATAGACTGTAACCTACTCCTAATAAAAAGTAACTGAGTCTCAGCCAATCACAGCAAGTTCAAGTAAGGCAAAGACCAGCTGCACCCAATCCAGCTGTTTCTGTATCTCACTTCTGTTTTCTATACCTCACTTCCCTTTTCCTGTCAATAAATGTTATCTGGTCATGTGACAGCCTTGGAATTTCTCTGAACCTATTCTGGTTCTGCAGGCTGCCTGATTGATTAATCAGTCTTTGCTCAAACTCTGTTAAATTTAATGTTTCTAATTTTTTCTTTTAACAAAGTAAAAAACATTTTCCATTTCTCTCTCTTGTACCACATATGAGTCCAATGAGACTAGCCTGGGGGATGAATTTAAATAACATGAACATATTAAAATTACCCTTTCTAAGGGGCAACTTACACCCTAAGAATGAATTCCTCTCTCAGGAGGGTTCTTAGTCCTTACGCATGTTAGCTTCACTTTCCTCAATGTTAACCCACCATTTTCTACATAAGTGAGCCCAGGACATGGCATCCCAAAATATGACTGTTGGAGATCAGAATATACCATCCCCAAATATGCCATTCTGGAATATAATTATTTTGAGTTGGTTACTTTGAGGAAGTGCAGACACAGGAACAGTTCTGAAAAGTTGCCCTTTTGTAAGAGAAATTTACATCTAATAGAAACCTCCATTTGTAAGGATATCTCCCCCCTGTACCCAGAAGAAAATGATGACTAAATCCCCAGAACTCTCAATCACTGGAGAAAGCATTGACTCAAATATGCATAGCAACCTTTAGCTTTGTTCCTTTCTCAGCCTTCTCATCTTAACCAGGCCTTTTCATCCTTCTTTCTTTGTTTCAGAGAATGATGGTATTTAAGCCTGAAGTTTAAACCACCCCTTTGAGATCTACTTTAGAGATTCACTCCTTCCGCTGAGTTATCTCTCATGTATATAGGATGTGTGCACGTGCTGTGGTCTGAATTTGTGTTCCTACAAAATTCATCTTGAAACCTAATCTGCATTGTGATGGGTATTAAGTAGTGGGCCCTGATGAACGCTATTAGTTCCCTTACAAAAGAGATTGAAAGGGGGACACAGTATTCACCCCTTCCACCATGGGAGCACACAGAGGAAGGACCATCTACAAGAAACAGGCCCTCAACAGACACCAGATCTGCTGATGCCTTGATCTTGGGCTTCCTGGCCTCAAGAATTGTGAGGAATAAATTTCTGTTGTTTATAAATTGCCCAGTCTGACGTATTTTTGTTGTATTCACCCAGTCAGAATAAGACATGTTTTTAAAATTTGCTTGTTTTTCTCTTGTTAATTTGCTTTTCATTACAGAAATCTGTTTCAACTAAGAACTATGGAGGATAGAGGCAAAATAATTTTTCCTCTCCTACACAGTAACACTATAAATGTCTGGATCCTGCTTAGATTTAAGACCCCTGTTCTAGGTGATTATCCATAACAAAAGTAATAGGTACATATAACTAGTAACAGGTTGATATAACTAAGACATTTTCAAAACTATTATATTTGCATATTAAATAGGAACTTCTGAGGAGAGAAAAGATCACCTGGTGACCATCAAGCAGGCCATCCAGAAGCAAAACTCCTTATCTGGGGAATTTAGAAGTAATTAGACTTCCTTATTATTTAAAGCCAGCATCTGGTACCAGGCTTCTTTCCTAAAAACATTTAAGTAACTAGAATTTCTACACATCTCCAGAATGCATGCATGTTGAAACTCATTGTGCAATCTTTGCTGACATTAAGGCACCAAATGTCTAGACATACACACATGTAATTATTTACCATGACCTATGTGGCTAAAGTGGTCCAAATGACCCTTAAGCTCTTTTTTTTTTTTTTTTTTTTTTGAAATGAAGTCTCTCTCTGTTGCCAGGCTGGAGTGCAGTGGCACAATCTCAGCTCACTGCAACCTCCGCCTCCCAGGTTCAGGGGATTCTCCTGCCTCAGCCTCCCAAGTAGCTGGGACTACAGGCACACACCACCACACCCAGCTAATTTTTGTATTTTTAGTAAAGGCAGGGTTATGTTAAGGACCATAAATGTTCCCAAGAAAAAATCCACTCCAGTCACCTCAGTCCTCTGCTGCTGAGGCACCCCACTGCACTCTTCAGCAATATTCTTTCTACCTAATAAAACTTTCCTTTTCAAACCTATACTGGTGTTGGTAAATTCTTACTGGGTAGTAAGGTACTGGGTACCCTATGACTCACATGCCAACCAGATCTGAGGCTGACTTTTTGATACCTCACCCCACAACTTCAAATACTTGCAGCTTAACTTCAGAGGTACACATTGTTGTAGACATTTGTAGATGTCCTGACTGACCAGCTTTTCTCTTTTTGTTTGGCAAATGTTTAAGCTTAAGAGTCCTGCATCGTCAAGGCAGAACCTGGGAAACAGCCTCCCTTGCAGCTAGGACTCAGGCAAGTGACCCAGTCTCTACCAATAATGTGTACTCAATGAGGCTTCAGTGTGGAAGTGAGCATCTTTGGGAAGAAGGCTCTGCACTGAGTTCATCATGTTGGTGATGCTTACAACAGAACTGTCTGGCTTTCTCAGAGACTTAACCTATGCAAAGCAGAAGAAAAACAGTCTCCTCTTAGTGTTTGCTTTTGTTAGCAGGATTACAAAGCTGCTGGGGTGACCTCAATATTTTACAAACTTGCCCTGAAACAGTCCTTCCTGTTTCCTATAGCTTTTCTGAATGACATGGGGCTCAAACAGGAGTCCAATGCCAACTACACTCTATTCTGAGTGTGTCATCTTTACTGATGACTAAGTCTTTTTCACTAAAGACTGTTGATATTTTCAGCAAACTGACCCATTCTTCCCCATGTAATATTCCTTAAGCCTCCCCTGCAAATAGACATCTGCTGGCTCAACCCACACTTTTACTCTAGCCATGTCAAATCCCTCTTAGATTCAAGGAGGAGTCCTGACTTTATCAATGTCTTAAGTGGTTAAATTACTAAAGGATGAGAATGTTTAAACAAATCTAAACATGTTTAAATAAATAGTCATAATGTTCAATTTTAACACTGTAGAGTACCAGAAAAGGTCTTCTCACTATCAGTATAATTCCAAGCCCCTTTCTACAATGCAAAAAGACTCCATCTTTTTCTCATGGCTCTTCCCCTGAGATATTCCTAAGGACCTCCAGCATAGTTTAATTAATTTAAAATGTTAATTCCTGGTGGCTACTATCTGAGCCTCCTCAGACAGCCAACCACTCCTTTGGTTTCTGCCAATGGTCATCAGAGCTATTCAGACCAATTTGCTATTTCAATTCTCCTCCTGGTGCTGGGCCAGGGAACTCAAGGAAGACACACATTCTGTTCCCAAAGCCAGCCTCCCTTATGAATGACTCTAAGCCTGGCTAAACTATACCTCTTTGACATCCCAAAGCACAACTACAAGCAAGCACTACACTCCTGACAAGACTATCTCAAATTCTTAATCATTCAGTCTTAAACAAACCCAGTACAGGGCACTAGTAGTCCCTATTGAATATCTTTGAGGAAAACTACTTCTGTCCCCTCTTTTAGAAGTAAAATATGTATATCCGGTTGACATCATAAAACAGAGCACAATGCATGCATTCTGATTCAAGGTAACCTTATACTTTGATCCAAGAGCTTTAGGTGGGTATTTGCTTATCTTACATACTTAGAATGAAAGAGCCTATTCTGAAGAATTTTCTTAACAAAAGTAGTCAGTTTCAAAGGTAAAGATGTCTTTACCTCCATAAAACCAAACTGCCAGAAACCCTGAAAAGAAGTGTCCTCAGTAAATCTTTTTAAAAAGATATATTTTTGTTATATAATTTTTTAATCTAAAAATATTAGTGTTTCTTTACTTTAAAGGTCATTTAAAGGTTTTTTAAATTAAATTATATATGTGTTTTTAAAATAAATCTAGCTGCAGATGGTACAAAATTTAAAATACTCAAAGTGCACTCTCTCTCCCACCCCATTCTCCTCCTTCTCAGAAACAACCACTCTCTGTAGTATTTTGTTAGTCCTTCCAGAGATTGATGAAGAAGCAACACCAGCATAATGGCACAATATTTCTTTGAAATCTTCCTAGATCAACTTCTCCTTAAGATTACAATTAACTTCTCACATGCTTGCATTCTATTGTCTTCCAATGTCTATGTTTTCTTCTCATTTCTATAATTGCTTTGGCCTTCTACCTTTTTCACTTCTCTTATTCTTCCCAACTGCAAGATGGTTTCTATTTTTCCTCAGTAAAAGATAAGACAGTAGCTTTGTTCTGCACAGTTAGGGAAGTAATTTTTGTTAGATTTTGTTCATCTATTTTGCTACTTATTCTGACTTTTTAAGCTTTTATGAGATTATGCAAACTAGTGCAAAAGCATGTATAAAGAATCAAAAACTGTGAAGGATCTGAGGCTTTAACCTACTTACAAATTAACACATTAGCCTTTCACAGTCTAATGGATCCAGGTAGGAAAAAATGAGACTTCTGGATCAGAGACAGACAGTTTACTGCTCAGAGCAATGCCTATAACAGAATATCAACATTCATGCCAGTTCCTCAAAGCTTAATTTCTACAATGTAAAATCAAGAGGGCCAAATGATACCTTCTGTGTAGTATAGTATATCACAGGTGAGAAACCCTCAGCATAACATCCCAAATCTTCTATAATAGGAGGTAAACTTGTGTGACTTTTGCTCCTAGAGAAGACATATTTGTTATATTTGGTAGTAAGCAAGCCTTCCTACGGCTCTGGAGGAGACACTATCACTACCTTCCAAGCCAGTTTACTTCACATTTTTGAAGAAATAGTTCATAACAAGGAAGTCAATTCCTCTGCTCACTATGCAGAAATGTAAGAGACAAATGGAGAATTGTCTCCAAACATAGAGTGATTACCATGTGCTGGACACTGGTAAGAATTCTAATTCCTCCATTCAGCAAGCTTTTATTGCATACCTATTTTTTTTCAGGGACTATAACAAGTATCCATTAAAGGAGATAATGTATGTGAAGAAATTTTTTAAACTATGGAAAAACAAATGTTAGCTATTTTTTCTATTACCATAATTCATTTATCTTTTTGGTATTTTCCTATTTTGGTAGTTATTGCATTCATTTCCAATCCTGGTTATCTTCCAGTATTGATCTTTTATATCTACAATTAAAATTTAGTTGAAGAGTCAGAATACTAAAGTTTCAGAACCTGGTTTCCTTTGCACAAAATAGGCTGACTTCTCTGTGCCCATAGCCAGCCATCCTGGGCCTTCAATCCTCTCCTTTCAGAAAGGGATGAAGGCTGGAACATAAAAATGCCAAATTTTCAGTTGTGAAATTAAACAATACTTAAACACATTAAAAAAATGTTTCCCATGTGATGTGAATCAGAAGTGGGATCATGCCTGTGAATAGTCACTGCACTTTAGCCTGGGCACCATCGCAAAACCCCCATCTCTAGAAAAAGAAAAATTCTGCAATCAAAAGAAATAGACCAGCTGAATTAATAAAAATAACAAGACTCAACTATAGTTGAATAAAAGTTAAGAACTTCAATATCCTACTCCCAGCATTCAACAGGTCATCTAGACAAAAAATCAACATAGAAACATCAACTTAAAGTGTACTATACTCCAGTATGACCTAATAGACATTTACCTGACATTTCATCAAACAGTTGCAGAATGCAGATTCTTCCAATCAGCACATGGAATATTGGAAAGGCCATACATTAGAGAAAAAAAATGAGTCTTAATGAATGTTTTAATCAAAATCATAGCAGCTATCTTCTCAGACGAAAATGAGAAAAATAGAAATCAATAAAAAGAGGAACTTCTGTATAAATATATGTAAATTTAAAACAGTGTCCTGGATGACTATTAAGTTAATAAATAAAAAGGAAATGAAAGAATTTCTTGAAACAAATGAAAATTAAAACACAATATACCAAAATGTATGGGATACAGCAAAAGCAGTGCCAAGAGGAAAGGTTATAGCAATAAACACCTACATTAAAGGATTTCAAACAAATAACCAAATCATGTAGCTCAAGGAACTAGAAAAGCAAGAACAAACCAAAATTAGAGCAGAATTTTTTTTTTCTTTTTTTTCTTTTTTTTGAGACAGAAACTTATTCTGTCCCAAGGCTGGAGTGCAGTGGCACGATCTTGGCTGACTGCAAGCTCGGCCTCCTGGGTTCAAGCAATTCTCCTGCCTCGGCCTCCTGAGTAGCTCGGACTACTGGCACCCATCACCACACCCAGCTAATTTTTTGTACTTTTAATAGAGATGGAGTTTTACCATGTTGGCTAGGATGGTCTCAATCTCTTGACCTCGTGATCTACCTGCCTCAGCCTCCCAAAGTGCTGGGATTACAGGTGTGAGCCACTGCACCCAGCCTAGAGCAGAATTTTTTTAATTGAAACTAAAAAACAGTACAAAACATCAATGAAAAAGTTGGTTTTTACGTAAAGATAAACAAAATTGACAAATAATTGCTACACTAAGAAAATCAGAGAGCAGAACCAAATAGATAAAATCAAAAATTAAAAAGAAGAAGAAAGAACAACTTATGCCACAGAAATGCAAAGAATCATTAGAGATGTTTATGAAAAAACTGTCAACAAGTTGAAAAACATAGAGGAAATAGATAAATTTCTGGACACATATAACCTACAAAGATTGAACCAGTAAGATATAGAAAATCTGAGTTTACCAATAACGAGTAACAAGATTAAATTAATGATAAAAGTCTCCCGATTTCCTTTTTAAAAAAGCCCAGGACCAAATGAATTTACTACTGATTTTACAGAACTTTGAAAGAAATAAAACAAATTCCTCTCAAACTATTCCAAAAAGTTGAAGAGGGAATTCTTTCTAACTCATTCTATGAGGCCAGCATTATCCTAATGCCAAAAACAGACAAGGACACACAAAAAAAACAAAACTGCAGACCAATAGCCCTAATGAAAACAGACTCAAAAAATTCCAAAAAAATGTTAGCAAACTGACTCCAGCAGCACAACAGAAAGATTGTACATCATGGTCAAATGGGATTTATCCCAGGGATACAAAGATGATTTAACATACACAAATCAATAAATGTGATCTATCACATCAACAAAATGAAGAACAAAAACTATGTAATCATCTCAATAGATGCAGAAGAAACATTTTATAAAATTTAACATCTCTTCATAAAAATTGTCAAAGAGTACTTACAGAAGGAACATAC